ACAAGTGATATATGCATACTTATATCAATATGCATATCATATTCACTTATTTGCATACTAAATGCACTATTATGAATATTTAAATTTCTAATTGTCTTTTACCATGCAATACCTTTGTTAAGAAGTAGAAAATGGTACTAGTATGTGATAAAGAACCTTTAGTATGGACTTAAGTGTTCAACGACCGTTTTTTAAAGAATAGCGCTTGTTAATTAAAACATTGATAGGTTTTAACTTTGTGTTTACCAGTATTCTGCGACTGATCGATGGCATTATAACGTTTGTTATCAAAACATCTGAGGTCTTTTCATAACAAGCTTTTCTGCTAATGACATATTTTTGTATTTTCTAATCGAAGATCAGGAAATACAAAGCTGACACTCAATCTCTGACACAGCGGGTTAACGACAATCCTAACAACAAGTAGTTCTCAAAACAGCTTAAAACTAGCGATTTAAAAGAAAGAAATATTTTTATTTTGGTACAAGTATCCAACAAATTACAACGCATTCAAAGTTTAAAAGTAGCGTGGGCTTATAGTATTGTCAATAAATGCACACTCACAAATTACGCGGATGAATATGATTTTAATCAATGAAAATGCTATTTTTAGCGATGTCGATTACCGAATACTACACAAATAAATCTGACTGTCGAGTAGTGGAATATATAGATTCTACATGTCGGACTGTTTTCTCTGAATTATTTACATCAATTTGAAACAACAGGTTTATAGATTTTATTCAGGCTTTGTTCGAATAACTTCTCTGTGGTGCAGGGGTAACGCGCTCGTTTAATGTGTGAAAGGTCTGGGGTTCAAATCCCAGTCGAGGCAACTATTTTTTTAATTTTTTAAGTGTCTTTGTTAAGGAAGTAGCCACAATATGCAAGGATAAAGTGTGGCAGTCATAAAAATGAACATAAATGATGTTTTGATACAGCTGTAGTTATGCAAAATTCCGTATGTATCAAACTCTGGTACCATGCAAGATGAATTATAGTGCATAAAAATAAACTAATAACAGGAAAATACATACAGATATACATGCAAATATCAGAAAATACCACAGAGCTTGCAGCCCTTTGATTATTATAAATTAACTATAAAAAATAACAATTATTAGAATATTTCCAATCATCGCCCACATTAATTGTTTTAATCTTTTACAAATTAATATGCCAAATAAAATTAAAGAAAAATATGTGCAGTTCAAACTCGTAGGTCAGTTAACAAATGAGTTAAAGGTTTTGCAAATGTTAAAATAATTTCTTTATTCCCCGGACTAGCTTGTAAAACACATTTTTAATCTTAAATCCGGACTAAGTCTTTTCCCCTTTACGTGTAAAAACATATTTAACAATAGTATGAAGTCTTCTGAGCACATCTACGGATGTTTCTTAATTCACAATTTTGTTAGTTCATGTTTAATTGTTGAATTCTGCTTAAGCCGGTGATATGGGGTGTGAACGGTAGTTTGCACTTGACAGTACCGTCCATGAACAAGCTCAATCAAACCGAGCCTGCAACATTTTTAATTTTGCCGTTTTGGTCTTTCTTGAGGGATTCTTGTTTTCTCTAAATAAAAACAAATTGAGAATAATCAGGAAAAGTAACGTACAATCCAAAATTACATATGTTATTTCATTTTCGATTTAGAGGGGTGCACCTTTAGATTTGTGTTAATTTTAATGAAAACTTAAAAGTTATTACTTAAATGTTGTACAATGGGGATTAAACCTAATCTAGTCATTATGGAACAAATCACATATTATGTGTCCAAATTTGTTAGTCACTGGTATAATTTTGATAACACAATTCAGTACATGTATTTGGTGTTGGATAGAATCGACGTGGCATACATAGTTACCTTGATTGAGAGAAAAATGAACTGACTAGTTTTTATTTATTATTGTAACCATGCAATTCTTCCAAATATGATAATTGCAATTTTGTTCATCGTTGCTTGTGCGACATTGATTCAAACATTTTCTTGTATAAGAAAAAACGTGCGACGATACAAGTATGATTCAGCAATTTCAATGACAAAGAAACGAATTCAACTGAAATTATCTTTGTTTATTGTTATGAAATACTAGAAATAAAACGCTTTGATTTCAATGCAACACATGTGCCCCATGTCTTCCTTTTTTGTTGGGGCCCTAGCAAAAACATTTTCCACCTTTATTGATTTTATTTGAAAATAGGATCTGTGTGGAATTGGTATATTATGCATATTTATAGATACATTGCACTTTATCTTATTCATTCTCAAACATAAAAAAACAAAATCGTTCCTGTAAATTTGTTGGGTTTCTTTTAATAAAGCTTCTTTAAAATGATTCCATTAACTTAGATGAAGGAAAAACATTGTGACTATTTCAATACACAATTTTCATCAAAACAAAATCATAACCTTAATTTCACAAATTCAATTTTCAGTCTTTATCTGTTATAAGCATGATTCTACAGGAAAAAATGATTCTTGACGGTTAAGAGACCACACAAACGGGTTATTTTTATTCAATTTTATAAAACACAGATTTTATGCACGCGCACTTACTAATGGTCATAAAATTAATCATGAGAAGGGAATGCCGTAAAAGTCAATGATAATATAACACTCGTACGTTTCAACATATATGTCATATTTTGACGTAGAATCAGAATTTTCTATTTAATTATGTATTCGATTTTTTTTCATGAGTAACTATGACAAGATGTTGGGGTTTGTTTATATTTAATCGACAGGGTTATAGTGTCGTAAAGAAATCATTTACAATAAGTCGTTAATGTGATTTTGACAAACAATTGTGAAGGGTAATTGGAAAATTGACTATCTCAGCACGAAATACGCTATTGTGTAAATAAAATTATAACAATATGTGCTTGAAGCATGTATGTAATTCTGTTAATAGTTTACTTCATATGACATCAATGAACTATTTTTGTTGATTCCTTTGAAACTTATGTACGAAGTATTTCAGCTAAATATTTTATGTTCAGTTTATTATCTGTATTAATTTACATAGCATTTCTTTCAAAAAGTGCATATGGTCTCATAAAATTTCAAGAAATCAATTTAAAGTTTCAAGTTTCTAGAAACATTTACAGTATAAAGAAGGTGTTTCATTTAGGGATAGCGTTCTTATGGGATACCGCTTTTTTCAATTTATAGCCATTCAGAACAATATATTGTCATTATCTATGTAGTTGTATCAAAATCAATGCAAGTACTAGTTAGTTTTCTGTAAGTACAATTCTCTTTTAGAATAAAATATATTTTGATTAATGATTTGCTATTGTAACAAAACGCAATTCAAACCAACCTGTACTTTAAAAAATGCATTGCCATTTTAAGATCAAATTTTCAGACAAAAAAGCACTCCAAAATGTTCCTGACATTTTATAAGATAATATTTCAGCAAATAAATGATATCATATTCATTCTATGCGTTTTAACCTCAGAAAAAAACTCTTAGACATATATTCTGTGGTGTTCCTTTTCGGAGAATAAATTTTGATTTTAAGACGATATACGGTACTGCGCAACAATGTAATATTTATGATCATTCATTTACAAGTAGGAGGCAATTGTTTTAACATATCGAGGCATTTAAAGATTAAAAAGAACTATTTCATGCTCAAAGTTGTCTTTATGACAGTCTTGAAATACTATGATACACTCAACTGTTGCTTTTTTATACTTTAAATCTGACATATAGTAAACAAAAATTCCCATTTGTGTGATTATTGCCTAGATGCAATTTAATCTAAATGTTACATCGTTTTTCGTTTCACATGTATATATTTGTAAGAGATATATTTTAACACTGAAAACTTAACAAAATAAAAAAAGGCATGTCTATAGTTGGATTATATATAGTTGAAAACGTCAAAGAGATAATTTATTGGAAATTTTCAAATGTTAAAATGTTTGAAATTTCACTCTGCCAAACAAGCTTAACAATGCTTGGCCCCTGCTGTATTCAGGAAAAAAGATCTGATAAAAATGTCTCCCACGAGAGGGCAAAGAATAGAAACCATAACATATTTTGTTTAGAATAAATTCATTCATTGCATATTTTTGTTTATTTCAATGATTATATCAATTGATCACACAGCAAGCTTGCTAAACATTTATCAGCCCCAAATACATATTTCCAGTAGGCATTATTTTGTTGCCAACGTTGCACATAGCTTATTTTTCGAAATCAATTCGTGCACATCACGTTTTTCCAAACGGAATATCTTCAACTACATATACCTTAGTATTAACATTCATATAAAAAAAAAAGTTCTTTATACTCGAAAATGTAACACGAAAGCAATCGAAAAAATAAAACTCTTTCAATAGGAAAAATTTCACTATAAATGTAACCTATCTGCACTTCAATAGGCTACATACATTCTATAGACATATGTATCAAGATACCCCCTCTGAATTTTTCAAGATTCACAATTATTATTCAAGATTCTCAATAGAATATCAGAATCAGTGTGTGGCAAATCAAATATTGTTATATTGTTCTGCATGATTTATAACACTTAACGTTATATTGTTGATACAAAATCTCCTTTGCGCTATATTCTTTCAATAAGGTTCATAATAAATTTTCAGAAGAATTCAGATGAAAGTTTAAAATATAGAATCTCTTTGTAACGCAATATTTAGTTATATAAGGAATGACCTTATTTAATATTTCCAACCATGTGATCAATAACACACATTTGCCACAACCAGATTATTATTTTATTCACATTAATCACTAAACTTTGGAAAGAAATCTGGATAATTCAAACTGCCTTAGCCCTATTTAGGAATACGTTATATAACTGTTGCTATCCAGTGAAGATCTTTGTTCTAAAATTTGTTTTTACTTGCTTTATATCAGTTGTGAATGGCGTTCATTTATTTGTTATTGTCGTATAGCTGATTGCACAGACTAATTAGTCATATATACATGCTATATTCAAAAAGAATGACAAGTCAACATGTATATACATATATTAGGGTTTTTATTTCATAATGTGAACTCTGGAACATGACATGATTTATGTGTATTATAGTGCAAGATACATACAAACTGAGTTTATGTCAAAATGATAGATAACGTATTTGTAAGTCGGCTAGATTTCATAACATTTTATGTGTAAACTGTCACTATATATTTTGGGCTAGATATTCAGTCCGGGGAGTTCAGCTTTGGTATTCCACTCGTTCACTTGTGTGTTTGTATTTGTATATTAAAAGTATGTAACATCCGTGAGTTCTTCCTCCGTTATACGACAACGGTTGATTTGGCGCCTAAGACCAGCGATGTCGAAGCGACGATTTTGGACAGCGGGACACAACGAAGTACCTGAAACAGAAAATTAAAGGTGAGTGATCGTTTATATACCTGTAATTTGCTAATTTTGAAGATGTCAGATCAAGAAATTGCTACAATTTTTGAAAATTTGTCGGATAAATTGAACAATATTTCAACTGTCATAGGTACACAGGGTTTATCAGAAATAGTACAAAATTTTGATGGAAATTCTAAATATTTTAATGACTGGATAAAATCTATAGAAAAATATGCTATTTTAAAAGGTTTGGATGATAATAAAATAAAATTAGTCGCATTTCAATCAAGTAAAGGGACTGTAAGCGATTTTATATGTAGATATTTGCGTGATAATCCTCGTAATTCGTGGAAACAATTAAAAGAAGAAATAAGTACTAGATTTGGGGAAATTAAAGATTTACATCATGAATTTTATTTTTTGAGAAATTTAAAACAAGATTTGGGAGAAAGTGTTCAAATTTTTGGGGAAAAATTTATTAATTGTGCTGAAACCGCTTATGAAAATTATAAACTAGGAGATAATAGTTTAATTGAACTTCAGTTAGTAGAATTGTTTACGGATAATTTAGCGCATAATTATTTAAAACTTAAACTTATGAGAGAAAAGCCAAAAACTTTACAAGAAGCAATTACTTGCGCAATGAATGAACAGAATTTCAGAGCTAGATTTTCTGCCAGAGTAAAATTTTCTAATGCTCAAAATCACGCAAAATACATGAATTACAAAGCAAATAATTTTAATCATTATTATACAAGAAATTTTTGCGTGTACTGTAAGAGACCAGGTCACCATGTGCGTAGTTGTAGATTTAGGAAAAATGAAATATATTCTGTATTTCACCGACAAAATTTTTCACGATTTAGGAAAAATAATAGCAATAATAGTTTGAAATCAAAGATTAAGTGCTGGAAATGTAATAATTTTGGTCATATTATGCGTGAATGTCGTAAACAAAATTTTTACGACAGAAACAAAATAAATTTTCAGAAAAACTAGCAAGTTCCTGTCACAAAGGGGTCATTGACAGGAACGATAAAATACCAAAATTTAGTATAGCATTAGCTGGAAGCCCTAATTCGTGTTTGATTAAAATAGAAAACTATAAATACATATCGTTAGTAGATTCAGGTGCTGAAGTTTGTCTTCTGCATCGCAGAATATATAGAAAATTGAAGAATCCCCTTCAACTTATAAAACAGAAAATAAATTTATGTTCAGTTGACGGAAATTATTTACATATAGATGGTTATATAAATCTAAATTTTCAAATAGGGAAAACAGAAACAACTCAAAAATTCTATGTTGTTTCTAAAATGAATAGAAATATTATTTTAGGCCGTGATTGGTTAACACAAAATGGTGTTAGATTATATTTTGATTTAGGCTGCTTAAGAGTTAATAATACATATGTACCCCTCGAAGAAGATATTCATATTGCATCAATTGTTAGGTTAAAACAGGATGTTATTCTGAAACCTCAAACAGTTAATGTGTGCACTGCTAAGTTAAAACAAAATCCAGGCTTGGAAAATGATAAATTATATGAATTAAAAAGTATAGAAACTGGAATGATTGCTTCTGAACCAGGTCTTATGATAACAAATTCTGTTATGAAACTTTCGGCTGATAGAGGATTTCCTATTATGATTGTCAATAATACACATAAAACTATAAGATTGAAACGAGATTCAGTAGTTGCTAAAGTTTCAGAAGTTGAGAGCATTAACTCGGTCACAGAGGCTCTTCAAACAACTTCCCCTCTTAACAACGATTTCGAACGTGATATTCATACACCTTCAGAGCATTTTAATATTGTTAGAGACTTATTAAGGAAAAATAAAAATATTTTCGCAAATAAAGATTCTGAATTATCACAGACAGATACTGTAACCATGAAAATACCAACAGGTAATCATCCTCCAATCAAATTAAGCCCATATCGCACACCTTTAAACAATAGAAAATTTATGAGTGACGCAATCGATGAGATGTTAGATGCTAATATTATAAGAAGAAGTCATAGCCCTTATTCATTTCCTGTTGTTATTGTCGGAAAACGTGACGGCAGTAAACGGTTTTGTGTTGATTTTAGACAATTGAATAAAATTACAAAGCCAACATCATATCCTCTCCCATTAATTGATGATATTTTAACTCTACTAGGGTCTTCAAAATATTTTACAACACTAGACATGCGATCAGGGTTTTGGCAAATACCCGTGCATGAATCAGACAAGGAAAAAACGGCTTTTACGACATTCCGAGGCTTGTTCGAGTTCAACGTAACACCTTTTGGCCTAGTTTCTGCCCCTGGAGTTTTCCAAGAACTCATGTCACATGTCTTACAAGGTTAAGAGGCATTTTCTGTCAGTTATCTTGACGACATTCTAATATTTTCGAAGTCATTAAATGAACATTTATCACATATACAGACAGTATTTTCAAAGCTTAAAGAGCATAAATTAAAACTTAAACTGAAAAAGTGCAGTTTTATTCAGCAACAAACAAAGTACCTTGGTTTTATAATTGATCATGAAGGTATAAAACCAGACCCAGAAAAAGTAAAAGCTATTAGGTCACTTCCGGTACCAAAATGTGTTAAAGATGTCAGATCTTTACTTGGTGCTGCTGGTTTTTATAGAAGATTTTGCCCTAAATATTCTAAAATTGTTGAACCTCTAATCAATCTTACAAGAAAACGTGTTTTGTTTAAATGGACAAAAGAATGTCAAGAAAGTTTTGAACAATTAAAGAAAATGTTAACACGTATTCCACTTTTAGCATTCCCAGACCCAAATAAGCCTTATATTCTATACACGGACTCCTCAGATTTAGTGGTCGGAGCATGTTTAAGTCAGAAATGTGACAAATCTGGTATTGAAAAACCTGTATACTTCTTATCTCATAAATTAAGTGAATCTCAAAGAAAATACAGTACCATAGAAAAAGAAGCATTCAGTATTCATTATGCGTTACAAAAATTAGATGTTTGTTTACATAATGCAGAGTTTATTATATTTACAGACCATAAACCTTTAAAATATCTTCTAGAAACACCTATGCAAAACAAAAGAATTCAGCTTTGGGCTTTAAATATTTCTGCCTATAACTGTAAAATTGAATATTTGCCAGGAAAATTAAATTTAATTGCCGATTTCTTTTCTAGACCTCCAGCTGATGATAAAAATGCTAACAAGTCCGATATTGAACTTTATGAGCCTGATATAAATGACAATGCCTTCGAAATAACAGTCTCAAATTCAAGTAATAATTCAAAAAATGATAATGTACATGCTGTGAAAACTGATGAAAGCTATGAAGTAAATGCTTTTGATTCTACGCACTTTAATGCCAAAGAAATAGCAAACAAAGAATACCAATTTCAAGAGCCAATTGTAGAAGATATTAAACAATTCGAAAAATTAAATATGGCCTCAGAGCAAGATAAAGATCAAACTATTCTTGAACTGAAAATGTTACTACGTCACGGACAGCCAACTAAATCAGTGCAGAGCAAATATTTAGAAATTGACCAAGTTCTTTATTATCTGTCTAATGTAGATGATAATCCTAATCTTAGATTGTTTGTTCCGCAACACTTAAAACACCTTGTCATTACTCAATATCATTTAAATAATGGTCACCCAGGAACACAGAGGTTATTTACAACAATAAAACAAAAATATTTTTGGCCAAATATGTTCAAAGAATTGTATGAATATGTTTCTAAATGTGTTGATTGTCAGTCACGTAATCTTACAAAAATAAAAGCACCTATGGGCGAAACAAGAGTACCAATGTATTCATTCCAGACCATGAGTATCGACGTTATTGGGCCCTATGAGAAAACAATGAGTGGTAACCGCTACATTATTTGTTTTATTGACCTTTACAGTGGTTATCCCGAGTGTTTCCCTACTGCTGACAAAAGTACTGATACAATTATACATTTACTATTAGAAGAAATTTACCCTAGATACGCATGTCCATTACAAATTGTCACTGACAATGGATCAGAATTCACAAGTAATGCTTTCAAAGAAACACTTAAAGAGTTAAGAATTGATCACGTGCGTACAACTACCTATCATGCTGCCGGAAACGCGAAAAATGAACGTTCTCATCATGTCATACATGATATCTTAGCTAAAAGAATCCAGGGAAATCTCAAACAATGGGATATTCATCTTAACATGACACTAGCCGCACTTAGATTCAATGTCTCTAGGACTTCGAAGCATAGTCCATTTTATTTGTTATATAACCGTGATGCAATTCTCCCGGTGGACCTGTTGCTACAACCAAGGCAGCGCTATCATGGCGAAGAGTATCACAAAATTGCATTACAAGAACAACATAATACTTTTCTATCTGTTTATAAGAACCTTAAAAAAGCAAAACGAGAACAAGCTAGCTATGCAGATAAGACCGCAAAAGTTATCAAATTTGAAATAGGCGATCCCGTATTTTATAAGAATTTTCGTAAGAGAAGCAAACTAGATGTGAATTGGAAGCCATTTTATAGAATTATGGAGAAAAGGTCACCATTAACTTATATAATAAAAAATCAATTTGACAATTCAACAATTAAAGTCCATGCAGAACAAATTAGGCTCGCAAATATTAATGACTGGTCAATACCAAAAGCAGATAATACTGGCAGACCAAAAAGAAATGCCACATTTGTAGTAACACCTGAAAATAGCGATACTGATGATGCTTCAGAAATACCAGAATCAGTATTACCCCAAGTTGCTAAGAATGTTAGAAAAGAAAGGTCAAATTCTGATAGTGAAGATGATATTCCATTAGCCGAATTACAGAAACATCTTCGACAACAACAACAAAGTTCAAATAATGACAATACTCAAAGTAATGCACATTCAGAAGAAATGCAATCGCAGACTGATTCAGAATTATCAGACTCAAATTCCATACAAGTAAATAGCAATCCTCAGTCACAAGCAGCATATAATGCTATTCAGTCAGATTCAATGGCTGATGATAATGATTCGGATAATGAAATGTTTATAAACTCTATTTCTAGTAAAAAGAAAAGTATTGTAAAACCTCGATATAAAGTTTCTGGTAAAGTTAATACAAAATCATCTGGTAATAATAAAAACTCAAAGCATAACATGAAAATGTTATTTCATTGTATATCTAATTTGCTGTAACAGTCGTGGACGTTATATGCTATACTAATTTTCGGTAAATTGACCTCAGGCATTGTAAATAGTAATTATGGAAAGAAGAAAATATATATGTTAAAAGAAAACAATATAAAACAAAACAGAAAATTACATTATTTAACCATATATCTTTATATTTTTGGTGGTTGTATTCATTTACATTAATTTTCAAGTTGTTTTTATTAGAACTATATATCTTAGATTTTTTTTATTATTGCTTAAAATGATCGTTATTCGCTATATGTTTATTAATAGATCGGTTAATTAAAATGCATTTCAAAGTAAATGACAGCACTTAATCATGAGTTTCAAATTGATTATATACTTTATTTCATATTAGAATAACATGTGTATACATACATGTTTCAACTGTCAACGCACAATCATTAAATAAAGTTTAAATTTGGATAAGTCTTATTGTCTAAGTTAATAGCTTAGTTAAAACAAAATATGTCTATATGTCTAAAAATCCAATATGAAAACAAAAAATTTTAAATATCAAGTATTACATAAATAAGATACTTACACTAGAGAACATCTTTCATTGGAATTCTTATCCTATGCATTTTATGACAGTTGTCTTGTTGTTCATATATCTGAAACAAAATTATGTTTATTGTATATAATATCTATTAACCGATCTGACAACGGACGAAAATGCAAAATATTGGTCTAACGATCACTTGTCGTCCAGCCAAGACAGAGAGGTGCGAGCGAATTCGCCGGTACAGTCAAACACCGCCTGACTAGAAATATTACAGTCAGCCTCTACGATGTCAAACTATGTACAACAAAAACCATGCAGATATAACCATAAACACCTTCTTCGATGTAAAACCATGCAGATATAACCATAAAACACCTTCTTCGATGTAAAACCATGCAGATATAACCATAAACACCTTCTTCGATGCAAAACCATGCAAATATAACCATAAACACCATCTTCGATGTACAACCATGCAGATATAACCATAAACACCTTCTTCGATGTAAAACCATGCAGATATAACCATAAACACCTTCTTCGATGTAAAATTATATGAAATAAGCGTCTACGATGTTTAAAATATATAACTATGCTGACACAGCCGTCAACAACAACAACAACAACAAAATTGTGGAATCAAATAAACTTTTGTTCCTGTCTTCAACCAAAGAAGCCGAAAACTTACGTTTATCAATAGAATGTGATTTTCTATGTGTTATATAAACTTAAAAACAAAAACCCAGAGAAATACTGATGACAACTTCTTATCAAAATAATTATTTGTGCGCGACAGAGATATCCAAAATAAATATCACATAAACATTTGCGAGGATCGTGCAACAGCAAACTGTTAATTTACTTATCTTTTACTCAAAAAACATTGCTACATAAATGAAGAATTATAGATCTATCATCACTTTGTTGTATTGTTCAATACAAGACATCCTTTTTACAACGACGAAACAAGAACAGCGTTTACAGATGTGCCAATAAATATTCGAATATAACTTTATCAACTTGTGTATAAAGTCTACGTTTACACATATCAAATACATATATATTAATTTAAAAGAATCTTCAAGAACATCAAACATTTATGAACAATTATGAGTGTCAATTTAAAATTATACTTTAAAAAGCTACATACCAACGATTTGAAATTCCCGACACGTCACGATGACCAAACCATACTGATGTCAGCAAGTACCTGTTACAAAAAATATACCTGTCACAGGAAGTGTTCAATGCGCATGCACAATACACGTTTTACAGGAAATGAAACACCTGGACATTTTATCAATTGGTTATAATATTTTTTAAACTTTTTCGTATATAAATATTTTTTTTACTCTTATCATACATATAATTCTGTTAAATTTTATACCTTAAAGTTTTTCTAATTAATATTCTTAAAATAATTTGTTCTTTGAAAATTGTTAACTTATTTGTTTGTTTTTATGTTTACTAAATCACTAGAAATTAACTTTTTTTTTCTTTTTTTTATGATGAAATAAAGGAAATTTAATATTTATTGAAAAACTGATAAAGCTATAATATTTACCTTATGTTACTTTAACATATTATTTTTGTATTTTTTTTGCATAAAGATTAGTCGAACATTTAACAATAATTATTATTTTACTTATTCAAACTTTTTAAAACTAATATCAAAAGTAAACTTACCTGTGCTACATTGTATCTATCCAAATTTTTCTATTAAAATGAATTCAAACATAAAAAGGTTACGCACGATATTCAATTGACCAATCAGAGATTATATGACTTAAGGTGATTTTTTCTTTTAAAAATAAACTAATAAAAAGTCATTAGATAACATCTCTGACCGGACATCTCTGACCGGATATTACCTTCGGCGATTTTTCTTTGAGAATAAAGTAACAAAAGGTTGATGTAAAACATCCTTACCTTAGGGGTAAAACAGATGTCAAGTTGATTTTAGATTTTTTTTTAATTTGTTACAACGAGTTTGAAATATTTGATAGTAACCTTGTTTAAAACTTTTTTTTTAAATATTTTTTTTATGTAAGAAAAGGAGGATATTTGTCGTATAGCTGATTGCACAGGCTAATTAGTCATACATGTTATATTCAAAAAGAATGACAAGTCAACATGTATATACATATATTAGGGTTTTTATTTCATAATGTGAACTCTGGAACATGACATGATTTATGTGTATTATAGTGCAAGATACATACAAACTGAGTTTATGTCAAAATGATAGATAACGTATTTGTAAGTCGGCTAGATTTCATAACATTTTATGTGTAAACTGTCACTATATATTTTGGGCTAGATATTCAGTCCGGGGAGTTCAGCTTTGGTATTCCACTCGTTCACTTGTGTGTTTGTATTTGTATATTAAAAGTATGTAACATCCGTGAGTTCTTCCTCCGTTATACGACATTATTTCAATGACAAATTTGCCTTCAACACTGTCGGAATAATAATACTTCATGTTTAAATGCTCTTTATAACTCCTACTCAAAGTATTATAGAAAATTGTTTCAAGAGGTTAGTTTCACCTTTCAATACCTGTTATCTCGTCTCTTGCCTACATTACGTTAAGTGGTATCAGGGGAAAACACTTCTTAGTGCAGGAATATTTGTTGTGAATAACGTATGTTGTACAGAAACAAATTTGTACATGTTTTATTTGCAGTAACATTATCAAGATTAAGTGTCAGGTTTTGTTGTCTGCTTACATTTGATATTTTGCGTAATATAACAGTCGCACAGGGCTTGAAGTTTCATATTATATGAATCTTATAACGGCTGCCGGTACAGACCGGAATATCTAGCTCAAAGATGACTGTTTACGGCGTGCCGAGTTTCCGCTAAACAGTTACCCGAGAGCTAGATATTCCCGTCTGCACCGGCAGCTGGTGTTTGATTCTTATTCTTACATATTACATTTCAATTATTTTCAGAACAGAAATTACGAAAACTGAAATTCTCATTACGCACATTTTTCTTTTAGTAGCGTATGAACTTACAACTTCATTCATAACGGTTAAAGTGACATTATGCTCATATTTTCATAGTCAAGTTGAGCTGAATTGGTTTTATATTTCAAAAGATTGACTGTTAAAATCATGTTTGACCAACAGGTGATATTTGAAAATATATTGACGTCATCCTAAGAACTCAATTCATTCATAAAAGGCGCGCGGAAATGACGTCATTTGGCACGCAGAGGGGGTGTAAGACAGGGTTTTCTAGCACCGGTGTAAACGGTAGATAATCCTGTCTGATATGCAAGAAAAAATAGTGTATCATCAAATGATGACTGTTTTATAAGCAGAAGACACCTTTTTCTGAATTGAAAACACTGCGTTAGCTTTATTGTGATAAAAATAACTTTTATGAACAATCTATAATTGGTGAAAATTTGCTGAGTTAATTGTTTAATGAGTCAAATCATTTATCATTCAAAATGTTTGTTAGATATTTTATCATCTCTCAAATAAAGTAAAATGAACTTTCGGTTGTTGCAAATTTGTTTTCTTTCTTCAACCACATCAGGAATATAAGAGAAGTTATTGACATTATTTTTATTTATTGTAGTGGAAAGATTTAGTCAGATACAAGGGTAGCAATGTTCAATATTTCAATGTTCTGTTAACTGCTTCATCTTTAATCAAATCAATCTTAGCCATGACTTGTTTTTACTGTAAATATCTTTATACATGTACAGCAGTTCTTCAAAAAAAAACCAGGTTGTATAACTAGACTTCGAACGAAAGTCCCAAGAGGCTGTTTTAGAGAAACACAAAGATGTTAAATACAACACAGAATGTTGCGACATAATGCAAAAACACACTGACTACTGACAAGTATAACATGAACAAGAAAAAAATATGGTGAGGCAAGAAAAAAATATGGTGAGGCAAGAATGAAAATGATGAAGGTTGTGTTTAATTAAACTTCTTAGTATTTAATATGTGTTGTTATATGCGGCACCACCCCTTTCCTATGCACATACATTACCAGATGTCAACTCTGAAAGAGTGACCCATATTGTTTCAACGTCGTAATAGATATTGAAAATAAAAAATATTAAATACCATGCCGTTGTTAAGAACTAGGAAATTATATGTGATAAAGAAACTTTAATATGAGTCTAGTGTTCTCCGACCAGTTTGTGACAGAAAAACGTTTGTTTATTAGCACAATGAATTTATAACATTTGTTTATCGAAACATCTGCAGTCTTTGAATGGGATACATTATTAGCGCTCTTTGGATAACAAAACTCACGACATATTCTTTGAATATGTGCTTCAAAATTAATTTTGAACGACCTTGTATAATTCAATAATCTACGACTCTGGTAAAATTAAACAATTCAAAAATTATGTAACTGGTGAATAAGACGTATAATTCAATAACCTTAAACTGTGAGAAAATAATGTAACACAATATAACAGTTATGTAATTGGTAAATAAAACGTTTAATTTCTCATTAATTTGCAATACAAGTTACGAAGCTAATTATCCTTTTCTACATTGCTGCTGATTATTTGTGATTACTTAATGATAAGCTGAAATTTTTACAGACATTATTGAAACAAAAAACCATGCCGCTAATTCTGCCTGCAAATGAGCTTTTTTTTCAATTGTATTTTCATTGGTAATATAAACGCCGAAAATTGAAAACATTATGAGATAAATAGTCCGTTAAGGATATGTCTGTAAATTATTTAAGTATTTACAATCGTCCCCTACATTGAGTGGTTTCAATATACAACACATCAAACTGCAAAATGAAATAAAAGAAGAATTCGTGCATTTCAAACAAATTTCAATTTGAAATCAGTCAGCAAATGAGTTATAGTTTTTTTTTCTACAAAAGAATTTGTATTATATTATGATTTTTTAAAAAAAAAGTTATTTTTTCTTTCTGTGTGTAAATATCACAAAATGGGGTTACAATCGAAAATTAAGGAAAATAGCTTACTTCATATTTGCTTTAATTTCTGAGCCGTCTTGTCAAACTCACTTTTTTAATGAACAAATCACACCTAACATATAAATGTTTATTTAACTTGGTGTAATATAACGTTTCTTTTGTCTCTCATTATCATCTTATGTCGAGAATATATAAAAATATTTCCAAATACACTTTATCCGGAATACAGCAAATGTTAGGATTCTTAAACTGGTAGAAACATATATTTACCGTTTTGACCGTACCAAACAGATTAGAAAACTTTTTACCCTAATTTTTGAATTTGTAACTGTAAATTTTTTGTTTGTTAATTTCGATTGAAATCAGCACATATCAAGAATTGTGTTAATTTAAATGAAAATTAATAAATGCTGTCCATTTGACCAAGAAAGATATTAAACTTAATGCAGTCATTATAAGAGCAAAATTACCTATAATATGTGAAAATTTAGAGAACATACTAAAACTCCGTTAGTTACGGGTAAAAATATTGATAATAAAATTTAGTATATAAAATCGTTGCCTGAATTGAGATTTGTTGTGGCATTTGTTTCAATATATATACAGCTAAAATAGAGAGAAATAAGAATCCCTAAAGAAAGCCCAACACGGCGAAATTGAAAATGTTGGCAGGCTCGGTTTGATTGAGCCTGTTCATCGGACGGTACTGTCAAGTGGTGTAAACTACCGTCCACGCCCACTAGCACCGGCTTAAGCAGAAAATTCAACATTTAACATGAACTGGTAAATTTAGAATTTTGAAACATCCGCAGATGTGTCATAGTATATTCAAGAAATTCAGAGTTTCTAGATACATTCACAATATATAGGTGTTTCTTACACATATTTCAGGCGATCTTTAGGGATTTCGCTTTTCTCAATACTTGAAGCATTCAGAAAATATATATCCCTATTATTTATGTAGAGATCAAAATCATTGCATGAAGGTTTATATTTAAAAGAGATGTTCGGTTTAATGAATTCTCTTTTGTTTTGTTGAAAAATATACTACTCAACTTTTGCTAAGCACCATATGTTTGAGTTTGAATATCTTTTTGGGATAATTTTATTATCGCCGTGCAAAAGGTTTTAAATGTTGATTAAGTGTTTTATCAATTCACTGAAGGACGAATTTAACCCTATAAATGAGTTTTACACTGAATTTGTGTGAGAGAATAGGATGATCCCCTCTTTAAAGATTTCAGAATATGCAGCGTTTTTTTCCAAATTTGTAATTTTTTTTTGTTTACAGCTTAGACTTTATACCGTGTGTGTGACTTGTGACTATCAATGACAGATTGGCAACGCATTCCCATACTCCCTATTAGGTTTCTGATCGTTCTAACAGGTATTAATTCCCCATACTTGGACCAACATGGCTCCGAGTTTCTGGATGGTTCCGGGTTGCATCCGACGAGCTGAAATACTAACCTGCAGCTCATTCCACATGGGATATATTGGATTTAAGTCAGGTGAGCGAGCTGGCCAGTCAATGTGCTCAATAGACACCCACTCTAGGTAGTTCTGGACCACCTTGTCCCGATGGGAGCAAG